ATAGTTCCAGAAAGAGAAAACTAAAAAAAATTACAACAGAACAAAACAAATAAATGAGCAAAAATCCTCCATAATATCAAATGGATATAGGAGCTAATGAAAAAAATCACCCAATGGCCAGAGTTGAGCAACAAAAACCAGCATTCTACTATATTGCAAAATAGAACCAACATCTGTAAGTTGATAAGGTCAGATAAAGACATATTAGATCTTTGTTAGAGCCACAGAATCTGTGGCTCTTAGTCAGCTTCCAAGCAGTCATTTCCTATGGTCTCATCTGTACCCCTTTCCTGCCCAATGCAGTGCCCCATTTCCTCTGTTGTTTCATTTCCTCCTTTTTCCCTTCTGTTACCAAAGGAGCTAGTCTCTAATCCAGAGGTTCTCAAAGTGATTTTTTGCCTCCCCGGGGATATTTGGCAGTGCTGCCATGCTTTGGTCCCTACAACTGGGAAGAGAATGAGTTTTACTCATATTTTGTGATAAAAGACCAGAGATCCCACTAAATATCTTACAATGTGCAGAACTGTCCTACAATGAAGAATCAGGTGACTCAAAGGTTAGGAGTCTTGAGGTTGGGACTATTGAAGGTGTGATTGAATCTATCCACTGTAAAGAAGAGATCTTTATCAATGGAGGTAGTAAGAGGAATGAGACCTAGCTCTGCTCTCAGCCTTAAAAATCTAACAAACTTTTTCACCCAAGCAGAGCCTTGAGGCAGTTCTGAAATAACCTGGTTCCCCAAGCCAAAGGAAAAAAAATAGGCAGTTTCAAACTCAAGCTGCAACGAAGCTCAAGTAAAGAAAGAGGGTAGTAAAGAGAGCCTTGGGAAGGAATTGGGGGGAAAATGGCTTCTTCTGATAAGACTGAGTTTGAAAAGTAAGGGTTGTCTTAAAATATTTGTCCCAGAGTGGAAAAGGGAAGAAGACAAACCCCAGAAAGTTTAAGTATGTAGCAAATGGTTTGAATATGTCTTAAAAAATGGAGCTTATGAGTAAAGTTGGCATGAAATTAAACTAGCTATGATATACATAGAGTCAGGATTAGTGCACTGATGTAGAACTATTCTTTGTTTATCTGTATGGCAGGGAGGAATGATGGGTCTACTTCAATCTAGACACTGGTTTAGTTAGAACAGCCAGGTAGACTCATTGGCAGAGGGAATTCTCTGACAGCTGCCCAAGGGAGGACCTGAGTATTCCTAAAAGAAGAATGCTGTTACTATGTAAGTGAATCAGAACTGGTAGAAGAAAACATAAAAGCTCTAGAAAAACTGCGCAAAGGACTCTACCGGTGTCCATCTGCTAACCTAGATCTAGGATGGTTTCAAAGCCTTTTGGCCTGGGGGCTGGTACCCCTAGCTGGCCCAATAAAACTATTGCTTCTACTTGTTACTATTAGTCCCTCTGTGGTTAACCCTTTGATATTTATACAAAAAAGGATTGGGGGGCTGGGAAAGTGGCTCAGTGGTAGAGTGCTTGCCTTATATGCATGAGGCCCTGGGTTCGATTCCTTAGCACCACATAAGCAGAAAAAGCTGGAAGTGGCACTGTGGCTCAAATGGTAGAACGCTAGCCTTGAGCTGAAGAGCTGAGGGACAGCACTCAGGCCCCAGAGTTCAGGCCCCATGACCGACCAAAAAAAAAAAATCAGAAAATAGGATTGGGACTGTCAAGCTGATGGTCCTTTGGGCCCAGTACAGATCCCTGAGTCAGGAAGAAGAGTCAAGGATTTGACTCTATTACAAAAAGAAGGGGGGAATGTAAGGGTCTCTTAGGATAAAAAAAAAAGCCCCTAGACCAAGTAAGGAACCTGAGTCAGAAATTTAACCTCTTACTGGGAACTAAGGAATTCAATAACAGGTAACTGCCATTGTAAAAGTCTCCTGTTTCAAAAAAGTTGATGTTATCATATTATTGGAATTTTGCAGCTTGAACCTGCTTGTGGTTTTTGCCTTTATAAATCTAGCTTGTGTCCATGCTTGGAGTCAGTGTTAGCTCCCGAGTCTACACTGAGTCCCTGGCGGGTCAGCTTCTGCCACACCTCAACAAACTTCTTCAAATCCTAAACCCACTTTAGTGGACTCATTCTTGGACCCCACAATACCACCATACTCTCACCCGCAATATATTCGTATTTCCGATCTAAGCATGGCTTCAATAGTATATGTCTGTTAGATTTGTAACTTCCTATTGTTTTTTGAATAGTCTTCCCCTATATTTGGGAAAAATTCCTGTTTTATAAGTCTTGTCCCTCTCAAAGGAAGGAGTTCAGCTCAGATTTCTAGTCTCTTTTGTAGCCAGGACTCAGGTATAAGAATCAGTCTCCCTCAGTCAGATACTCTCCTATAAGCCTTTGATTTAGTGTGGGTACAAAAACAGACTCTTAGATTCTGATATTTTGCAAGAAGCCAAAAAAAACAACGTGGCATTTGAGGGCAGTCAAGGTAGTGGCAGTCATTCCTCAGTGGTCCCTGGCAATGGTTATAGCAATTTCCTTCAGCAGAAATTCTGTTCAGGGTAGTTTCCTAAACAGGCTAGGTTTTTAGCATGGTTCAGAGCTTTATTCTTGGAGAGTCAGCTTTTGTGGAACAGAAATAAGAACTCTGGTAGTAGAAAACTGTTTTCAACTTAGTAGTGGCTTCTCTTACACTCTACCATATGTATGTTCCAAACCCTTTGCTTAGTCCAGGGCTCTTTAGCTTGGACTTACCCACACTGCCTTTCTTTCCCTATGGTTGCCTGGACTCACCCTGGTCCTCCACCCTTCTTCCATCCTGTATTTCCACTACATAAGGATCTCCCTGGCACAGGGCCCCTCTTCCCCCCTTACCTCAACCATCAATGACACTTTTGATGCTCTACAACTACCAGGGTCGATTTATTCAATAATAAACTATACACAGGCAAGAACATCTCTTTCTGGTCTTTTGAGTCTCCAGCATTCAGTTGCAAAGTAGGCAATACAAGTTTGAGGAATAAAGGACAAGACGTGGACAAGTGCTGCCACCTACTGGAGGAACTTTACTCATCTCTTTTAACCACATCCCACAGGATGAAACTTAAAATCAGTCTCATAGAAATCAACTCTATTGGTATTTATGTTTTACAGCTTATTTTTCCATATTAAAAGGCTGATTTGGAACCAATCAAATATGGCAGAAGCAATGTATGTGGCTTCTAAGGCCACATCATAAAAGACATTGTGGATTTATTCATGATTTCTCTCTGGCCATTGCTCTGAGGGAAGCCAGCTGCTTGCCATATTATAGAGACACAAAAACAGTCGTAAAAACCAATGGCCTCGGGGCTGGGAAGGTGGCTCAGTGGTAGAGCTCTTGCCTTGCATGCCTGAGGCCCTGGGTTCAATTCTCCAGCACCATATAAGCAAAAAGAAAAAAAGCTGGAAATGGTGCTGTGGCTCAAGTGGTAGAGCGCTAGCCTTGAGCTGAAGAGCTGAGGGACAGTGCCCAGGCCC